GGAGCTTGGGATGCATTTTTCTGCAGTTGGCTAACTGCATAATAGGCAGGCACGAAATGGCTTTCTGCAGAGATGGTAGAAGGCCAGTGGTCGAGTCTGGGCTTGCATTCCCTCGTTATGTTGTCTTGATTCTGGAAGGCTTTAGTCCTTATATTTCCGAAGTGCTACCGGATGCTATACGAAGCTGCATTTGTGACTGTCTGCGCAGAAACATCCAGCAAAGGATAACAGCACCGGAGCTTGATTCGCGTTTAACTAAAATGGTTAGTCTGCCGTTCTTGACTGATAAACAGAAGCTGGTAATCCTTGTTACCGTACAAAAACAAAATCGTTAATTCTGATGTCACTCATTGTGAAAGAATTCTTATATTGTAATACAGATCACAGATTTGGAACTGCCACAAGAATCGACCATTTGCGACGAATTCCTTACTTCGGATTTCGATTACAGTTACGTTATTGACATCTCAAGAGGCTGTATTGGGCGTGGTTCCAATGGCGCTGTCTACAAAGTTCATTTGCCGGGCCATAATTCTTTTTCGCAGGGCACGGCGGCTGTTAAGGTCATCAATTTTAACGAAGAAGACGCTCCTGGTTCGGATAGATACGCAAAACTCCAGAAGAAATACGAAAAGCTGGTTAGGCTGAAGCACACCAATTTGGTAAAATATTATCAAGCCAAGCTCATCAAAGGAGAGCATGGTCTTACTGTCCAGCTGTTGATGGATTACCATTGCGGTATGTTGGCTGTATTATTTCTCTTACAAAATTTCACATCTAACTGACCTCTGCAGATAAAATGTTTTTTTTAAACATATCACGGTAGTTTACTACCTTTTTACAAAAAAAGTTTTTTGAATTTGGAGGCGGAAATAGTGCCCTGGTAAGATCTTTCACGATAAAACTTTGGCCACGAGTATGTTGCGTTTATCTACGTAACGTAGATAAACGCAACGCTACGAGCAATCGAATTAATAAAGAATACACCGCCGCTACATTCATCACAGTTATGAAACGGGTAATGTGAGCAGCGCGACATGTACATACTCAGCTGTGTACACTGTTCCTGCTCCGTGTTCATTCTTGGTACGGGGACCGAAGAGGCGATTTATTGAGACGGAAAACCTTTTTCAGGTTTGGACTAGTTATTGCCGTCTTCTTGTAAATTTTTCACTTTGGAGAAAAGCAAGTGTTTTGGCTTGCACTCTGCAGATAGCCTAACAGAGAATCATAATGCTTCGGCTTTATGCATTTTAGTACAATAAAATCAGATGTAAGTTAGTGCAAAGCGCATTCAACTGCATTTACTAAAGTGAGTCAGTCTGAATGAAAACGTTTTACCGAACAGACGGTATTAGTTTACCCATCGTGGCGCAGTCGGCAAAACGGCTCGTTTCACATTGGGAACGGTAGTTGAAAATGACTAAAAGCCACATGTAAAACCTTTTTATGACTATAATGAGGGCAGCACACATCTGTTGTTTTGGCTGGGCTTCCTAATGAAGTCGTGAGAATTACGCATGTCCATGCAGCTGAAAAACCGGAAATTTTCAGGTGGTTCATTTCGCTCTTTATTGAAGAAATGGACAGACAATCAGTTTGGACTTAATCCGGTAGCGGCTTTGCGATATACGCTTGAAATAACAGACGGCTTAAATTTCCTCCATGGGCAACGAGTCTGGCACGGAGACCTAAAGCCGAGCAACATACTAGTTAAGACTATCGACGAGGACATTACACTTCAAATCTGCGATTTGGATGACTTTGTCTTGATGGATCTCGGCAGTACAAATGCTCGCGGCACTCCAATTTACATGTCACCGGAGATGATCGCTAGAGTCGTTGGTAGCACCGATGTGATGCCCGGGGAGAGAACTGATATATGGAGTTTAGGTTGCGTTATGTTGGACATCGGTCTATGCGCAGCTGGTGAAGGAAAGCGCGAACTGTGGAACCGGCATCTAAATCACCGACATGAGATTAGCGAACAAACGTCCACCGTGCTGTATGCCTTGTGGATTAATGAGCAAGGATATGTCCCGTTTATCCCCGACACTGTTTCCAGAAATTTTGCGTCATACATTGAGAGTTGCTTTTTTATTAACCCAGATGACCGGATTTCCGCGGCAGCACTTAAAGTCCATTTGCAAGACCATATGGAAGCTATGTACAAGCATGTCAAAAAGCGAAATCTTACATGCAACTCGCGGGAGCAATCGTAACAGCTTAAAGGACTTGAACACACTGACGAACTAATCAGGTTTTTTCATGTACTGACGTGGGAAGTTGAATTAAGATGTTCCGTTTTCCAATAGTTTCCTTAATTTCGCGTTACTACTAATCCCTTAGCGGGCGTTTTGTGTTAGCGTGAATCGAATATTCTTCAGAAATTCATGGAAAACTGCTGAATTACTGAACTTTATAGAACTATAGTATCGACAACCGAAATACTTTCTGTTATCAAATCAGCGTTAACAAAACAGCATTTTAATGACAAAACAATGACGAAACTGTTTGGAGTATGAAGATTTGCAGTGCAGCCGTCCATGGTTGAATGTTATCCTCCTATCTGCAGAGCCGATAGGAGGAGTGTTTCCGCTGCGGCGAAATTGATCAGCACCAACTGCTGGCAAACGGGCATCCATTCCGCCAGCGCCGTTCATTCATAAGAGCCACTGCGGGGATTGCGGGTGATGCCCAAGAAGGAAGCAAAGGGAAAACCCGAATCGCGGCAGTCCTTGACAATGACTAACGGCTGACGAATGGCCTTAGAGTGCAGCACCATTTGAATCAGCGTTTCCCGAGAGCGAACTCAGCGTGCCGATTGTCCTCCCGGTCCTCCGTAAACAGCAGCGAACACGTTCGTTCCGTGCATGTGTTTTGCAGCATGCTTACCAGTTCGTACGAGAGGTAATAGTCGCACTCAGACAAAAAATCGGCATCCTGTGGTTGTCTCCCACATCCGGCGCACAATGTGCCGGTTTTCCACGTAGCTGCGGCAGAGCATTCTCCACAGCGCTCAAACTCTGGGGAAGCGCAGATAAAAAGGTTAGCAACAAAGATTACCAATACTAAAATTGCTAAATATACCCCGCGCGATACGGATAGTATATATTCTGCAGAAACATTAACCGTGAAGCTATTCAGCTACCTTTCCAAAAGCAGTTTAGCTCAGTAAAATTTAACCGGCCTAAGATTTTAGTACTGTACCTGCTTGCCACAGACTGCGAATCCAAGTCGAGGTAGCCCAGTATAGCGGCTAGTATGAGGTTTAACAGCTCGTTAATGGACATTCCATCTATGACGCAGAATACCAACCAATCATTAATATTTTTAACGGTATTAAGTCATTTTCATCAAACAAGAACAACTCTTAACAAGAACTGATTATACCGATTATACGCTAGCTGTAAGGAGAGTCGACATGATGCCGACTTTTAAACGACATGATGGTGCAGTGTTAGAAGTAACTGGTCAATTTTTAGTTTAATCCACGTTTCAAAGTACGAGTACTGTATGATCACCAGCGACTGACTATGAGTCGGTAGCGCAGTATTTGCTCAACGTTAAACCAGACACCAAATCCAATAACGATTGATTTATTCACTACAGACAGGCAGTCCTCCTCGGTTGACGGTCACACATTTTTGTGGTACCATCCGCGGTCGACAGTTAACACTCGCCCTCGTCCATGCGCCCGAGAAGCTCATTTAGCTTTTCAGAAATTTATGAACCTCACTCCGGCAATTGGGTTCTCGCTCCCGAACCACAAATTCCCCCGTAAATTTATTTTCTTCTCATTTGTTTAAGTGTTTTGTAAAAACCATTAAGCAGAAAGTTTTAAATTTACAAATTTTAGTTGCTTCCGGTGGGTGAACAATTCTTTCAGAATCATTCTGCTAGATCAACAATTAATCTTTCACTTTGTTTCTTAATGAAAAGTGAGAACAGGGTGTAGAAAACATTTTTTATGAAAAGCAGGTCGACCTGCACCACACTGGGGCGAACCCATTGACTTCACCTGCACGGCACGGAAGAAAACTCCGTGAAAATAAACCATAGTGGAATTCGGTACTCGGTTTAACTTTAGGCAAAGACTGCGCTACCATTGTATGTCAACTGCAAAAAACCACCGCAAATTGCATTTACCAAACTGGCCGGCTTCTGTTGCATCCGAGTCCATGCTAACCAGCTCTCCCGTCAATTCGTCCGTAAGATAGTAATCACACGCCTGCTTCAGGGAGTCTTCGGTCCAGAACATGCTCCGCCCAGCCTGGTCCACATGCATTTCGGCGCAGATGAAAGTGATGGCATCGGATTCCGGTTTCGCGAACAGACGACAACCGACATCAATATGATAATGTCCCCGCCCCCCAGTCTGTGCGTGCCGACCGGTGCGCTGAAAACCCTTCTTGTCCTCCATAACGCCTGTAGTAAACCGACACTTCGCATTGCAGTTTCCATCGCCTTTGCGAAATGCTAATATGGACGAAGATGCTACGAAGTTCGGTATAAACTTGACTTCACGTAGCAAATGTGCTTTTGGATAGTCGACGACATGTTTTTTGTACAAGAACCCCGTAGTCCGTCCGAAGAAACTCCCACCATCGCCGGGAACGGGCAGCACTACTGTAATATGATTCCGCAGCACCATATGACAGTGGGGAGACGGGAGACTGATCCCCGCGGGGTTGTGGTCTTCCAGGCGAACAGCGTACAATACAGGAATATCGTCTTGGACGACAGTAGCCCGGCGGAAAACCATCGGTTCGCCTTCGGATTGGCGCAGCGCTACGTACACTGACGACCCCACACGGGATTCTTCAGTTCTCGGGGGAAAATGATGCGGCCACAGACTGTTGGAATGAATCCATTGGGGACTGATGGTACTGGCGTCGAAATCCACGAAGAACCGGTCGCCGTCAATATCTTGAACGAATCCTAGCCACCACTGGGTGTTGTCGCGCTGAACCAAAACGGTGTTGCCGTAGTTCAGCGAACGTGTAGCTCAGAAGAACTGTCGGAAATACAGCGAAGTCGCATTCATGGTGGAACCGAAGACAGAAACTCGATTGACGGGAAGAATAAGGAAGAACGCGCGGTTAATGTCAGTTTATTCGTGATACGAAAAAATCTGGGGAAATTAGCTTAGCGCAGAGTTTTTGAGTACTAGTAGTATGCGCCATGCGGTCGGGCCGTTCAGGGCAAATGCACTATTGGACTTCGCATAATTAAAATGATTTTTTTCTTACACACGCAAGTATTCAGCACTTGCTGTGCTATCGCAGCTGCGACCTCTGAATATCGGCTGTTCAACCAAGAACATACTCCAGTTACAGATCTAATTTTGCGTACCACATTCCGATTCAGAATGGAGATAGAATTTCACCAAATATTACAGCTCATGCTCGCACATAACACAATGAAGTTTGGATTAAGCCAGGAAACATTATTGTGGCAGCTCGCCCCGTATGTGCGCACGCTGTGGCGGCGCCACAATATCTTGTACAGATATTATTATACAAAATATCAAGCAATAGAAAGCAAGAACTCTTCATATATCGTACTACGGAATTCACATTCAAACTGCCGGAAACACAGAGACCGCGCCGTTAATAAACGGCGCGCCACAAAAACACTTTAAGAAAGACACTCAAAAAGGGTGGTGACTGGGCATTTTGGACCGGTTGCCCTAAGTGGCTGTACATGCGCTCTCCATATGTACGTTGTGTGAAGACTGTACTTGCCGAGTACTTACGATTACAGCAGATGACCTGTTTTCGGGCTCGAATTTTTTTCAAAGGCCTCCTTCCATGTTCCAACAGATATGGAAAATTCGACGTTTTTTGTCCATATCCCGAGGGACAAATACGGTTACAAATTGTGTAGCAATTCTGAACAATTTCAACTGGTAAGATATAATAAGTGGTTAGATATAAAAGCGTTATACTCTTCACTGTTACAAAACCGAAATTCCCCAAGCTAGGAAAACCTTTCGCGCAAAAATTGGTGTGTGGCTACCACAATGTGAGCAAGTGAATACTGCATACCCTACAATGTAATCGCATCCCTTCTGCCTCAGCGGTCAACTCTCCGCGTTCATCAAGATGGTAAATTTTCACCAAACCCTAGCAGGCACTGTTTTTGGCTAATCGGGTATAGAAGAGACGTCAGGAAAACTCGTGGTTGTAATGCGCCTGCACAGACCTACATTTCGCACATGCCGACCTGTTCGCTCCCGGATGCCGCAACGTGGCGACTGCTTCCGCATTAACCCAACAAAGATATGTTGTAACGGCTCACCTAAATTATCCACTCGTTCACATGCAAATGTTTGGACAGAACACAAAATTTTAGACAAACGGTTTTTTGACTTCACTGTACGAAAGGCTAGTACTCTGACCATTGCTGCGATCCGTCAGCGGGGGTAACAACAGTCCACAGACAGGGGTGTCTTGCTTTTTTTTGACCCCGGCTACCAGAACATATACCCTTGTCTTTCTTCGCTCCAAGCGAATACGGCTGACGCCCAGACTAGTCAAGCAACCACTGATACTCACAGCTACAGTGGGAGCTAAACTGCAGCTGCGAATATAAATGACTGCTGCACTGGAAAGCACGTCCATGTCTGACCAGCTGCTTCTTGCGTGCTTTGCTGCGCTGGAACACAATGCGTCAATAATGCAGTAACCGTTTATTCGGAAAATCTCTCTCCATTACCCGCTGTCCGCTGCAGTCGGGTTCTCCCAAACTTAATACTGTGAACCTGATTCACACCGAATTCAATTAGGTTGGAAAAACTACGATATATTAGTCGAGCTGGTGCCTAATCGACAGTGCACGCGGTTATCCTGAAAATTCTGAGAACCAAAAAGCTAAAACAGCAGAAAATTGGTGCGGCGACTAGACTCCGCACTCGAAGGTGCTGGCTCGCGTCACCCGGTATTCAGTTTTCAAAACAAATGCTTTGCTTAGTGAAATCTGAGAATTATGGGGAGGCCGAGCGTAGTACAGACCATTGTCTTAATAGTGACAATATTCTTCCATTATAAAGCTAACAAAAATGACAATTATGAAAGAATGCGAAATTTCAGAAAATGACGTTTGATTTGGGTTCAGTTTAAAATGTCTGTGCTTGTTACATGATATCGGAGCTTCTCCTCTTAGGCTTTTGCATGCTTCCGAACAGTCACCGTTCCGTTTGTTCCTGACACCTTGTCTGTTGGTTTATTTGTAAAATATGTTTGTTTGCTGACCCCAAGCAAACAAAAAACTGCCGTGGCAATACAGAATTCAGTGGAAGCATGAGGAAGATTTTAAAGATACGAAGGTAATAAGCTCGAAAAAGAGCACAAACGTTCGGTCCAGCTTTTGTTGTCGACAATTAACGATTCAGGATGATGCAAATACTAGTCGGAGTTGCCAGACAGTATGCGAATTAGTACAGCTATAGGTTACTGTACTAATAATAAGATTTATATCCTTTAATTTATATCCTTTAATTTATCCTTTAATTTAGCGAATTAGCACAGCTATAGGTTACTGTACTAATAATAAGATTTATGTATATCCTTTAATTTAATAATATGCATTCGACTTTCACCATTAGTCTTTTTTAGATTCTTGCTTAGTCCTAGGTACAATCGATTTACCGAATACAGCCGAAACGTTGCGGATGATTTATTGCTAATCTGGGCATGGAGCACAGTTAAAGGCAAAGTTTTTCTTAGCCTGATTGTAAGAAGCACTGGTTGTGTGACCATTCGCCCAAGTATGAACGCTCAGCTTCACATTTGTACAGTCAATCGACAAGTATATTTCGCCCACTTTCACTTCTCGACTGCCCGGATACACTTTCCCGGCTTTCTTAACGGTGATCAAATCAGGCTTCGTTCTAAACCAGTCCCGCAGCCACTGATGGTCGCAGCTGCAGTGCAGCCGTTGCGCGTGACTGACCAGCTCCGTCTCGCGTGCTTTACCGTTCTCTCGTGGCAGCCACCATTCTTCCAACTGCAAAAGCTGCAGAGCGTTCAGTTCGGAAAAGGTGTCACGCTCAATGTAGGCGATCGTCGTCGCGTGAAACACTATCCGCCGAAGCAGCCGGGTTTCCGCAAAATCTCTCTTGAATACTCGTTGTCCGCTGCAGTTATGTACACCAAACTCGATTAAATTAGGAAAGCTGTTGTGCATCAAACGAGATGTTGCGGAATCGGTTTTGCATGTGGAAATCCAGAACCCGACTACTTTCTCCTTGATCATTACAAACTGAGCGTTCTGTTTCAGCACCGCATCGAGGACGAAAAGGGTGTAATTGGTCACTTCAAGGCGATTTCGGAGGATGCCGGCGATAGTCGACGCGTCTAGCGGAGTTGCGTTATTCTGACAGAACACGGACACTCGGTTTGGGGCGGATTTGTGGCAGTCCCGCAAACCAGAAAATTTGTTGAGCCAGAGACGATAGCGTGTGCCGGGTGCGTCTTGTATGATCACTTTGTTGTGGTAAATTGAGCAGCCACCCGCGGTGATGGTGCAAATGTCGGTATCTACAGAAATTAATCGCGAGTAACAAGCAGCAGTACATTATAAGCAGCAGTATATTATAACAGCGTGTCAGTAATAAAATTAATTAAGCTTCCGTTACGTATTAAGATAAACCGGAGTTTAAAAAAACTTCAAAACGCTTATAAAAGCACGGAAAAGCAAGAAAATAATTTACCGCGATTTTCGCATTTATAGTGGCGCAGAATCTTTAGGATGTCCAGTTTACTGAGCCTTCGGTTGGTTGTCAACTGGATATTAGGATCGACGCTGCGCATTACCGGTTCTTCTTTGTTGATGGCTGCTCCATAATCCATTGGTGGATAGTGCATAATCGACGCGAAATCGTACGGTAAATTTAATTGGGTGGTCTGGTTCTCTGGTCGCTTATCATAATTTTGGAGCGATGAATCTGTATGAAGGCTTAATCTCAGCCTTTTGTTACAGCAGGTAATAGAACGGCCAATTCTGAGCGCAGAGCTTACCGTAAATATTGCTCCTATTGACGAACACGTAATTATCCCGATCGGGTCGGGTATGTTCGTGGAAGAATCCCAACACATGAAGTAGTTCATGGACGATATCATGGACTTGACAGTCGGAATCCAGCTGCATTTTTTGCCGGCGTCTTATTCGACCCACCTCCGCCGAACACCTAATGCATAAGGTCACTCCCATGCCAGAATTTACAGCCCCAACGTGGGGCCCATTTGGCTTCAAAAAGCGAGAAGTTGTACGTACCCTTTACGCCTTTCAAGGGCGATTCGGACATATGCTGTTTCGTTAATGCTACTCTGGAATGTAATGCAGTTGTTCGTTTCGATCGTGATGTTCAGCATGGCTTCCCGAACACGGTTTCTCATGGTCGAGGCTGGTTGAAAATTTTGTCTTTGCTGTGGCCCCGGCACGCAATAGTAAAAAACAGGTATGCTTACTCATTCCTCTGCTGAGATAATAAAACACCGTCCCATTCGGCCACCGGTACTTGTCGGCCGTCCAAGCATTTCCCATCAGCTATAAATAAATTATAATAATGCAAGACAGATCAAGCCTGTTTGTGCACGTTCATTATAAAAGCAAACGCTTTATTTATTAACTTTTAATACAAGTATTTACAGAATAAATTACGGAAAAACGGTTTAGCGGTTTTCGCGGTTTTAGCAGTAAGCAATTTAGCTGGACTTCTGTACAATTACCAGGAAGAGATAGCTGTGTATAATGATACCGTGTGATAGCTGTTCTCATCAATCCCCAGACAATTTTGGCTCGTAACAAAGACTTCTCGGTTATTAAAACTGCTTTAACAAACATGAAGTCTTTCTGTCGAATCAAATTTGCCTTGAGAAGGCAAATATGTCAAGTAATCATTTTACACACAAGTTCACGCACCCCGGCTTGGTGGTCGTCCTTTCTGGAGATTATTTTTATTATGTCACCTTCCGCAACCGTGTAAAAATCCTCGTCGAAGTCTTCTTCGGAACTGGCTGGAGCCACTACAAGATGTCGATTATTAGTCCAACAAAGTTCTTATGAACTATGTACACATCCGTATGATCCTGCGCTATCAGAACGAGAATTTCTTGCCTCGGGAAAGTGCGCCTCTATTCCGCATATTCACAGCCAATAATAGCAATCCGTAAACCAGCATGCGCGGACACATCATCGCGGTGGAATCTAGTCGCGCGTGCGGAAACGGTAACAGACAGCTAAACGTAAACTTCTTCGCTTTGGAATTTTCTGCGGCTACAGAAAACGCTTTTAAACTGGCACTGCATAAGCCAGCATGTTACTGCCGCCAGTGCATTGCGATTGTCCCCGCACGTGGGCACAGTATGCTATCGGGGTCTTGCAATCTGATTATCCGCTGATAATGGAAAGTGCGCGGCAAAAATTGCACAGTATGTGCGTATAATTCTCGCAATTAGAAACGTGACACATTAAAACCGGAACGATTGGTATGCTGTTGGTCGCTTTTCCATATGATGAAAGAAGAAGATGGCCCAAGATAATACTTTAGCCGGCTTGCAGCGGCAGTGCATAACGTACTTTCTAGAAAATAGCCATACGAAATATAATAAGAATGTCACCCAGATTTTGGATGTACATAAACACTTTATATACAGAGTACAAGTACTCCTAAAATGAAAATAAATAGTAATAAACCTGAGAACGCCTAAACACGATTTCATTAAAAAATGAAAGCGTGGGCACACCGACAATTTGCTTCTCCGCCATCTTGCTGACCAACAACTTGCTGAAAACTTTTTGCTGATTGACAAAATGTTTAGCCGACAATCTGCTGTAGCGGCAACTTGATGATCGACAGCTTGCTGAACGACCTTTCGGAGAAAATTGACACTTTGCTGCCGTTGCCGAAAATTCACACTTTACTGGCGGCATTTCGATGACCAACAAAACGACTCCCGAAGGCCAAAGAAACCTACGAAAACCTAAGAAAACTAAGAATAACCTAAAAACCCAAAGTAAGAAACCTAAAAAAACGCAAAACCTAAAAAACTCAAGAAAACCTAAGAAAACCCAAGAAAATCAAAGAAAACCTAAGGAAACATGATCAGCGCTAGAAAACTGAGAAGCAAAAAGCAACAGCGAGTCGTAATAAAAAACAAATAAACCTAAAAATCCCAAAAAAGCACTCATTAAATTTAAGATATTCTAGAGCCTGGCCGATTAGCAGGTTGTCAACCAACAAAATAGTTTCCGCAAAACGTCGGGCACCAAAAGTGTAGAAAAGCGAATTTTCGGTCAGTAATATGTCGGTCAGCAGGTTGTGTTAATCAGCAGCATGCCGGCAGCAAAACGGAAGTCAGTAATTGATTTGCTACCTTTTCATCCACTTGTCAAAACATAATATTTGTTGTTTATCAAACTTATAAAAGCTTGCTACTTCTTCCTTGTTTTGATACAAATCTAAAAGGCAAGAGAACTATTTAATCCAACAGCTACATAAATTATATTCCAGAATTTTGCAAGAATACGGCAAGCGTTGAGCGATAACTAAGAAAAGTAAGAACAACAAACACCTTTTCCTATCGCAGAACTGTCGCCATTCAACGACAAAGATTTCCCGCGCTTTGTCTCCCGCTGTCGATCTTCGTCAACAAGCCGCCTCGCCATCTCCACAAACAGCTCCGACACACTCTGCCCGCTTTTGGCCGAAGTCTCTGTGAAGTTAACTGCAAAGGACTCCGCCAGTGTGTGGCCTTCTTCTGAAGATACCACCCGCAGTTCCTCCAGATCGGTCTTATTCCCGACGAGTGTCATGCAGATCCCATCGCCCGATTCTTCCTGCACTTTCCGCACCCAATCGGCAGCTTTCTCGAAAGATTCGCGATCCGTTATGTCGTAGACGATGATGGCGGCCCGCGCGGAGCGGTAGTACAGCGGAACGAAGGCGTTGAAACGCTCCTGGCCGGCAGTGTCCCAAATCTCCAGTTTGACCGGAGTGTGCCCGATCAAGACGGACTGGCTGAGAAACGCCACGCCCATCGTCGTTCCTACCGTGCTGAATTCGTCAGTGACGAATCGGAGCGTGATGCACGTCTTGCCGACGCCCATTTGGCCTGCAAAGTCAGGCGGTACATGATTAGGATTTAGGAGCGAACTTCGCCCCTACTGACTCGGGCGAACGTTGCGGGTTCCTGAAAATCGGTGCCGCACGCGGGGCTTTCCATATTGAAGCATTGACATATAAACATTAATGTCGAGCTTACCGATTACCACCACTTTTTAAGCAGGTCGCTCGTTGTGCACACCAGCCATTAGATCTAGTGGCAATCAATTACGACTTCGACCGTAATTTATAAACATCACAACCCTAAACAAATTCGACTGTTGTGTTTTCATTCCAGGAAGCAGTAAAAATATAATATACTCGTATAAAACGGAAACTGCTGTCGGGTCCCGTCTGCATTACGCATAAAAATGGAATGCTGACAGGCACTGCATCAGTGGGTAAATGTATGACAGGCTTGCAACATAGTTCTATGATATGAAAGCAAAAGACCGGCAGTTGCAATGAAGATAAGGGCGAATGAAATCAGCAGCGACGATATCGTAGACATTCATAATTCAGATGATTGCGTTGTGACTTATTGGTAAATTTACCTTTACCAGTTTCCTATCCTCTCTGGAAAGATTTCATAACTTCCAATGAGTGCTGTGGGTTCAATTTTCTGTCTCAGAGCAGTACTTCGTCCATACAGACTTTACGACTTTACAGACTTTACGTACTTCGTCCATACAGACTTCGTCCTGTACGACGCAAACTGCCAGTGCCATTATTTTCACCTCCTGAGCAGATGCTGTACATTTGATATTTCATTTGGGCAATGACGTTTCCCGACATTTAATGGTGCAACAGGTTAGAAAATAAAAAAAAAATATTAGTAAACTGTTCGTAGTAAAATCGATATTCGCACTCATATTTGTGCGCATTATATTTATGTGCATTTTTATGCGCAATCCCAAGGGCGGTGCATGATAAGACATTTGGTACGCCGGTTTGAATTTAACATTTTGGAATTATAATTCATTCATTATTCTTCATCCGAATGTTTCGCGTCAAAACGATTCTCACAGCAGCTTGTAATTATTTTCACTGCAAAATATCAGCAGCTGATGCAGAATTTGTATCACGGCGCGTGAAGGTGAATGCACGTTGGGAAATCATGTACCGGTGCACTTCTCAGAAGACTACCAAATACAGTAGCTATACAGAGAAATGACAACATCATAAAAACAAAATGTCAGCGAAACTTCCAAGTTAATACGGATAAGGTAGTGACTAACTATCGAACTTCAGCGGGGCGACACCGTTTCCGTGCTCGGAATAACGGAAAGAGCGGCAGCATTAAATGAAATTTTGTTACTATGATTAACTGCTTATGATCTGTGATGTTACCATGATTTGTGAAATAAAGAAAGTAATACTGCTGAACATCGTACTAATGTAAATATGTAATATTATGTCACGCTGCGTAAGTACATATGCATGCAAGCTGCGTATACAGTAGTAACAGTACTTCATCACAGCATGCAGACAGTTAATAAGCTCTACTAATTTGTTGATGTAGGGGTAGCTGCGCATTTACAAAATGTAAATCAGTTGATAGAGAGGAAGAATTTCACAAAATCCACACTGCAGTTACTCGTTACAGAATTAGCATGCAACGTCTGGCGTTCGAATGACAGAGCTGGTATCACTCACTGCAATAGATGGCACTCAGGTAGTTTTTAACAAGGTGCGATTGACAGCATTGTTTTTCTCGGTTGCTGGACTGCGCGACGACGAGGTCTTCTGGAAATAGATGCTTACTTGTATGCACCCTTTGGGCCAACTGGTGATACCATACTAAAACGATGCTCTTAAAGCATCTTAAATGGAATCGCTTATAAAACGCTTCCAGGGAGAAAAAAAACCATGTACCGTTCAAGTTCAACGACTGTTCAATACTGACAACCAGGAAAATAAAGTTGTATAGTAACATGTGAGTCATGCAGCCTAAACGGGAAGGTACAGAAACAACAACGGTACATAACGGGTACATAACGGTACATTGACGGGTAGATATATATATTTTGCCTTCATACCAAAAATGTGCACTCCAGCACATCATTTATGGTTCGTGACAGCGACGGTTTGTGAAAATTACGTTAGTGACTAATAAAAACTAAAAATCGCAACAAAATTGTCGTCAGTATTCGTTGGGCTGGGCAAAGACTTCGCTAGCACGCGTGATCCAGGGCACCAGCAGGAAACGCTGCAGGACACGGCTCTGGGACGTGTCGGCGGGGCCGGATGGGGCAACGATGCACTTCAGGGCACCTGAGGAGCGCAGAGTGACTTTTTGGACGACGAGAAAGAGGGTGTTGTCCACGCGGCTGAAATGGTAGACTTCTCCTGGGTCCTCCACCGGCAGCGGTCGCCCTGCCTCGAAGATGATGCGATCCGCGTGCAACCAGGAGACATCGTGCCAGTCGATTCCGTCGGGTACAGTGCAGGTGAACGTCGCGTCCTCTCCGAGTCGCGGTCGTACCATCACGCTGTCCAACACTTCTTGGCTCACGGGCAGTTGCGTCAAAGTGATGAGGTCGCCCACGCGATTGTTGAGCATCGCTTCATCGATCATGTCGTTCACTATCAGGCGAGCCAAGTAGTTACAGGATGCATCAATAACATGTTAAGGAACTGCGTATAATAAGCAATGAAGACCTTTATAAATATTTTTCGTGGTTGTAATACGAATTAAACAAATCATTGAATACTATTTCAAAAGACATAATATGTAAGAGTACGAAGTTCAAGTATACATAACAATTACAAGTATACATAACAATTACAAGTATACATAACAATTACAAGTATACATAACAATTAAACAAGTTATTGAATACTATTTCGAAAGACATAATTATGTAAGAGTACGAAGTTCAAGTATACATAATAATTACAAGACTGACGTGAATTACAAAACAGGCGTTTATTATCATGAAATACCGTTTGTTAATATACGCATAATAAGCGGCACGTCTTAAGGAGCTCTTACAATCCGGCCTCGTCTTTGACTGTTGAGGTTGCGACAGACAGACCGAGGGTATTTGCAGCAGCAATAAAAACGTGCATGTTGACCATATATAGACAAAGAGTCTGGCTGTGAATCTGCTCGTACTCATCGTTGCTCACCCTGTACCAAAATATTAATTGCGGTATTTGTATTATCGTTTGAATTCTTGAAATATGCTTAAATAAGACAACTGAGTTATCGAAATTACGGAACTGTGCAACTGAGTAAAACGGTGCTCGTCGGTTAAGACTCTCACGAGTTAGAGACCTAATAACCGCACAGCATCACAGCCTCTTAGCGACAACGATGCAGCAGTTTTTCGGGCGTTAAACTATAATGTCCCTGCAAAACCAACTTGCATCCTACACTCGGAGAAAGTGCTCCTACGCCGCCTACGCGGTTGGGTTGTACGACCGCCTTCACAACTTACATAAAATTATACGGTATGCAGTTACAGATGCATGCAGACAGCTCACTACTGGACCAGTAGTGAGCTGTCTGCATATTACGAAATCGGCCTTACTTTAAACTGGCTACAGTACCGTACTGCTCATAATAAAAAAATTTCTCCGAGTGCCGAGTGCCAGTAGGCAGTACAGTACTTGCATTTATGTTATACGTTAGTCAGCAGGCAAATTGCCAGCCGTAAAAACGAACAACGCGCGCGTGAATGCGCATGACTGGCGCGTGCACCTGTGGATTATGCTATTCACAACGACCTTTTATGTGAGGTGCATCGTTCTTTGGTGGTATGTTCAAAAGTGTGATAAAGAGACATTTCATTTACCAATACTGTATTCGCTCGCACATCTTGAACCACAGAGTGTGTGTACGGGAAAAACACGCATTCAATATACACACTCTAACCGGGCAAAATGCACGACTACGAAATATTGCTCATTTGGTTTCAAGATGAACAGTTCTTCTTGTGAATTTATCCAATAAATCAAGACTTTTCATTTAAATGACAGTTCACTCTGGAAAAAAAGGTTCTGTAGCTGAAAGCTCGCATTGTCTGTGGTTCATCGCCATCAAGAATATTGACGCTGAACGTACCCCTCCCCCTCCAGGGGCACCCCAAAAACCACAACAAATCAGTTTGTAACTCGTGCTTACGGCAAAGCTGTATGTTAATGGCTGCTTTCGAGCATAAACATGGTTAAAAATTCTTAGAGCTCTAACTTTTTTTAATATTCAAGAAGTTCTCCACAGCAGATGTTGCAAAGACATCAGAAATTTATCAAATCGCGAATCGCGCATTTGGCCCGGTTAGAGTGTGTATATTGAATGCGCGTTTTTCCCGTACACACACTCTGTGGTTCAAGATGTGCGAGCGAATACAGTACAACATTTACTATAGACTCTATAGCCATCTAATATGACAAGCGCGAAGTGTCGTTGCGCTCGCTACAGCAACCTAATTTTATAAAAAAAACTTGGCTGCCTACATATTACTGCGAGCATTTACCCGTCACATTAGCACAAATAAGACTTTAAACAGTTATGAAAAATCAAAAATGCCCGTCAAAAAGGCAGATGCACTGAACGACTCAACGGCAGACACACACTATTCCGTAAGAATTTACGTTTTGCGGAACGGGTTTCCTATTGCAGCGCTAAATTGCAATTTAGCGACCGCTACAAAAAGTAAAATTACCGGGCAGAATTAATAAAAAATAAGAAGTTAGTAAGGCCTGGAGCGATAGTAAAACGACACTGGAGGTTTCGCTCCTATTTTCTTAGCATTAAGAAGTGAACACAGTTGCAATCGCGGGTTTCTTCGGTAATATTGTTTATGGCCTAAATAACTTCCTAACTTCTCCAATGATTTTCCTACCAGAAATTCCAACCTTCTGGTGCCGTCTTACCGAGATGTCAACCGAGCGTATACAATGCTACGCCAACCAATAAGTGGCCTTTTTTGTACGTATTCCGTTGTAAAAAACGATGTAAATATCTAAATGCAGACCATTGTTGCAGCTTGCTGTTCATGAAAATTGCTAGATTTGCATTCTCATTGTATTTTTGCGGCCTAGGGTTGAAATTCACGAGGCTTAAACCCGTCTGTGAAATGAAGTGAAATGAAATGAAATGTGAAATGCAGAAATTACCCAACGCAGTTTTTATTCATTTCGTAAAACACATTCATTTTAAATAGCCCAAAATGTCTTTCAGAAAGATTATAAGCACCGCTCAGTTCTGACGCGACAGCTTCATCACTTTCTTGCATCTGGTCGTAACTGAACACTAGATCCGAAAAACTAATCTCAACATCCACACAGCCGGTTTCTTGAGTACCATCTGAATCTAATGAAATCGATGAATCGACAATCTCCACAACTTCTTCGTCGTCCTCAACTTCCGCTTCAGACTGCTGCGTATTTTGTTCCCGTTTCTTTTCAGACTCACGTTCACGAATAACATGCAGTTTGACAGCAACCAAATCCCGCGCTTTTTCATCAAGCAAACGGTTACGAGGCCTCGTGGCAACACTTCGCATCATACTCCTAATGCGTTCGATATCAACAGCGTGGGGACACAGTTCGTGTAAGGCAAGGCCAATCTCAGAAAGTGCTGGATACACCGACGCAGCTAGTAGCCAAAAGGATCGGTGATCAGCTTCCGATACAATTTCGTCAAACAGAGATTCTGCAAAATGTAACTCTTTTTAGACGAGGGAAACAAAAGCCGCATTTGCAACATCTCATTAGCTGAAAACTCAGTGGCGTTATCCGCTGTTAGGCAACATGCAAATTGTTATGAACGCTACGTATACCAGCTTCAATCAGACAACACTGCTAGAAGTATTTCTGTTTCAAAATTTATAATTAAGTAGCCTTTTGAGCCGGCTGCAAAGTCCCCGTCCCCGCGATGCTTTAATTTCGTACCTTTATTCATAAATGCCACCACAGAATTTCCAGTGATTGAGTGCTTGGACTTCGGAAACATTTCCTTATGAAGATCTGTCGTCCGCTGCTTGACAATGTGCCAGTTGATTTTTACAGGGTCGTACTGTAGACTGCTTAGGCTGTGGCCTGGGTGGAGCGCTACCGCCAAAATCATCAGGCGTACGTCAAAAAAACGCTTCCATCTACTTTCCAACTTTTCTAACAGATAACCGCTCGGATCCAACTGCTCGAACTTATCGTACAGATTTTTTACCGCCAACATCACATCACACAACGTGCAACTGTTGCTCTCGGAAATAGCTTGCGCTTGTACCAGCGGGTCCAAAATAGACAAGACATTTTCCAAGCCTTTCCAAAAGGACGAACTCTCTATGTCCACACGAACTGGAAGCGATAGTTTATCAACGAAATCGTTCTCTTCTAACACTCTCTGAAACAAAAACACGCAGCTATTCAAACGCCGTTAAACCGAAGGTAAATTACAGCAGTTATGTAGAAGTTGTAGTTACATAACGTCCGGTAATTACGTAACAGTAAATGGTTGTAACTAGTCAATTTATAAGTAGCAGCTAAATGATTACTGGTGTGCTGATTATGTACGTATTATGAACAGACAGTAGGCCGATTTTACCTTTAATACCAATTTCGAATCGAGAATGGAGCGAAAACACTTTGCAAACGAGTACCAGCGGGTTTCGGTAGGCCTTTCAAGGGAAGTGTGCTGTCGATTAGGGTACATCTGCTTCGCAAATTTGCGCAGCTTTCCCAGGAGAATCGTTTTCCGGTCAAAGTCCGTAACAATGGCCAGTGCAGATTTGCACGCGGGAGGTAGAAACGGCAGGTGCAATACATTTGTGGTCCACAAGTTGAACTGGTGCGCATAACAAGGCAAACTAAGCATCGATGGAAACTCGTTCTTAAGCAATTTTCTGGCCTTAATGTGGGCACCAGTAGAATCGCAAACCAGATACGCAGCTCCAACACCAAACTCCTTGTATAACAAATCTTTTGCCGCTTTCACATACTCCACTACGTCTTCAGCAGTATAGGTTTTGTCCCTGACGTTCCCTGTTGACAACAGTGTCACTGTAATCTTGCCTTCCGTGCGGTACAGGAAAGTAAAACCTGGAAAATCAACACACGTGGAGCAAATAACTGTTCAATAACAGGCAGTCAAGTAAATAGTTACTTATTATAGAAGGTCTTATAGTTTCTTACGTATCAGATTTTACTTACTACGGTGGTTGTTTCACTTACCAAGTACGTTTTCTTTCCGGACATTCTTAAACGAATCCATAGACAACGTCATTGCTGGTTTAGTGATCTCTAGCTTCTTCTTGGCGGCAGTACTAAGCCTGGCAGCTTCTCGAGGCAACACAGTTACGGACAAGCATTGACGATGCGGTATAGTTCGAGTAGGGATTCCTGGTCGCAGAAGTGACATGATTCGCATAAAAGTACGAAAATTGAAAAAACTTAAGGCAAGATTATTTTCAGCCAGCATTTTTAGGAGAATCCGCTCAAACGGTTCTTTCTGGTCAGCCGTCAAGTCACCATCCAGAAAGCTCCTTAGAGGTTATACGGCTGATTTCGGCTTCTTTGCAGAATCGACAATTGCGGATTCGTTCTTACGCTTAGACCGAATTTCCACAAGTGTTTTGTGTGCTGTTCCGCGTGACTCAGCAGTTTGGCGTTGCACATGGACAAATGTTTCAGCATCACCGAACGACAACCGCGATTGGGGTTTTTCTGCTCTTTGTCACAGTGCTTGCAGAAGACTTCGTACCCATTAGTCTTTTTGTATTTGATGGTGCCCTTTTGTAAACTCATCAAATTCTTTCAGTCGGTGTTTTGGATCTGGTGCTCCTGCTGTAGGATTTATCAACAGACATTAAGCATGCAAGATTTTAACATTAAAAAGTCTTAGTTTACCTTTTGCATAACTGTCCTCCTCTTCTTCTTCTGCCATATTGATAACCTTACTACACCTTGATCGCGTCTTTCACTTACAAAAGACAAAGAAAATCGAAACAATTCACGGTTCAAATGTTAAAACTAGGAGAACACCTTTGGATTGCGAAACACGAATCAGTAAATTCTACACAGATTACGCCGATGTGCACGGGCATAGTGCAGCTAGCAGATGCGGGCGGTGAGCCCTGAAGTACTAAACATACTCAAAATCAGCAGTCAGCGCAGCCCGATCTTATGTCGGCATTGTTACTATCATTACTAGTTCGTATTTTGTAAATATTTTGAAACTTCGCTGTTTGTCATTGCTGTTCCGTTTCATCGTTTCATTTCGTGGATCCGCGTTTCATGCGGTTTCCCTATTTCACTGTTTCACGCATTTGACATTTCATTTCATTTCACTTTCACATTTCACGCGAGGGTCCGCGTGATTATGAAATGAAAGTGCAATCAAAAGTGAAATGTGAAATAGTGAAAGCGTGATTTCAAGCCTACAAAATTCAGAGTACTACAGATACAAATACAGAGTAATACAGAGTACTACCAAATACAGAGCTAGAAGAGTGGTGACTGCCACGGAACCTTGATGATAACTCGATTATTCAGTTCCGCCAACGTGCCACACTCCAAGAGTGCTATGGTCGTCACATAGACTACAATGCGGCGAAGGAATCGGTTTGCCACAAAAACACATTTTGAATTCGGCAAACATACTTGCAGGCTCGCAGCGGGAAAATATCTGTAGTAGTTTATAATTTTCGAACTCTCTTCAGAGAGCAGCTTTAATTACGATAAAGATGAGACTGCACGGGAAGGTTATAATTCGATAATTGAGGTATTATTACAATGTACGCAGAATATTTCTTTGCTTCAGTAAACTGTATCTGTATTCATTTTCACACCGCTATCGTGCCGTGGAATCCGGAGAATGTTTGGTGCGGGGAAAGAAAACTGTTGCTCGTGGATTACAGCACTTACATTGGCGCGACTGCACTTGCTGCTATAAATTTGAAATCTTTCATTTTCTTTATGTACGCTCACCGCTCACAAGTACGCGTACCATTGATTGATCCAGTGATAGCAACTCGTATCAACGTGTCAACGTTTTCTTTTCGTCGGACTGTTAAATTAACAAACCAGCTGACTGATATCGACTGGCAAAGCCGGCACACGCTCCATTCACGTGATAATTCGGTTACCTCGACTACGAAAAATGAGTAAATTTTAATCTGATAATCTCGCATAATAGCATTCAAACTGATTAAAAAAAAGATCAAAAGCGTTTACGACCGTGAGAAAAGCAATGCATGCAGCTAGTAAAACGTGTTGTACAAGGACCTGAAAGGCAGCAGATACCTAAAATTTATCCAGAATTGAGAAAGGTACTAAGGAACAGTTTTCCCAAAGAATTTCGGTTGTACGCAGTCTAACAAAACGGCAGTTGTTGGGTTCAGAAATTTTGATATTTTCCCAAGTCTGTGTAGGTTTTTCGTGCATAATGCGCTGTAGATAAGGGCTAGTAGCGTGTGTCACCACAATTCGGGCCTATCTGAGCTCCGAATGGCCAAAGCAGCTGTACGGCACGTATGCAGTAAAACCTGCGTGCATTGAAAACCTCCGGTTCCTAAAAAATCGTTCAATCTAGACGCTTGTTCAATGTACAGAAGAACTTTTACAGTCTACGAGACGCGCCGGTTCCAGTACAAGCGTTCAGCTTGCGCGGGTGTTCAATTTACGCGAGTGTCACAGGTTTCATTGTACAAGATACCGCGCTGCACAGCTCCGTTTTTCAAAAACCCGTTTTTACTTCTATGGATCATAACCCACGGCGATAGCGCGCTGCACTGGCCGTATACCAGCTTCCGAGAAACATGTCTGAATCTTGCTAATAAAAACAGCAGTGATTTTGGACCTATTTGGCAACAGGCATTCGGCAACGAACGGGCGCGATGGTGGTCATGCTGTCTAACGAGTACATAGATCTTACAGTTCTTATGTACACTCCAGCACGTTACTTATGGTGGTACGCGTAACCCGTGCGACGGTGAATGAAAATTGCGCCGATAACTAATAAGAACTTCAAAGGGTAAAAGCCCGTCGTCGTGACAAAATTGTGTCAGAACTCGCCGAACTCGGCGATGACCTCGCTGATCAAAGGCAACAACAACAACAGGAAACACTGCAGGACACGGCTCTGGGAGTTGTCGACGGGGTCGGATGGGCGAAGAGGCGCTTCAGGTTCCTCTGGAGCGCAGAGTGACTTGGAGGACAAAGAGAAAGAGGAAGTTGCCCGCGCGGCAAAATTGGTACGATTCTCCCGTGTTGTCCTCCACCGGCAGCTACGTAGTACGTACAGCGTTTCCTGTCAAAATTTAAACACGAATATACCGCGCTTCAAGAATGCGGTGATCGTCACGTGGACAACATGCGTCGCAGCCTTCGACGCATAGTTTTCCACGCGTAGACCACCGACTCGAAGAAATCGGTTTTCCGCAGAAGGAGAAATCCTTTCTGAATTCGCAAAACATGCTTGCGGCCAGATAGCAGCTTCTTGCTGCATTTTTATCCGAATTTGATTAATTTGGGCAACTGCTGCGGGATGCGGGATGTCATCGCAGTTCGTGACGCATATGAAAATTCAGAAGCACAATTTTGCACACCTTGCAATGTGTTTACATCATCGAGCAGGAGAAACTTGAAGAAAAAACTTACTTGCAAATATGACACGCAATAATGATATGTCGCCTTGACAAAATATCTGCTTACCACGTACGTAATAACTTAAGGCCGGGTACACTGGTTGGCATAAGAAATCTAGCCGGACTAGCTAATTTTTTTGCCTCAAATTGGGTACGAGGCAAGCGGCAACTCTTTCCCATCGCTTTAGTAAATTACATCACTTTCCCTGCTGCATCTTACCCGTGTGCAGGCGCTCACGTGATATCGTTGTGATCACTGATCAGCGCTTACTGAGCCGGCGATAAAATCTCGCCTGCCGTGCTCTTCTCTATATTCTTTATCAGTTCGCGTAATCAACTATAGCCGCAAACCGGTTTAGACGTGAAACGGCTGAAATCAAGTATCACGTGTGCGCATTACACACGGTGAAGATGCAGCAGGGAAAGTGATGTAATTTACTAAAGCGATGGGAAAGAGTTGTTGTCGCTTGCCTCGTACCCTAAGCCTGTAGCAGCAACATAAGTGGTAGACAAGGAATAGTATCGATTTTAGCCACTTCACAAACTCATCAAGGAACTTAACGTACAGGAGAATCAGGAGATAAACACCAGATTATATAACGCCCTACACTGAAAAATTACAGGATAACATGTGATCGACCCTGTATTAGACAATCGCTTATTGGCGACGCATCTGGGCACCAATGCCATGGGAAAGCCAGAAACATGGGCTATGATCAGATGAAAGGAAAAGCTTGACTAAACACTATTATATGACTAATCCGATGATTTATTACGATTTAGCAGAAAATTACTGTAAGCTCTGCCTAAAATAGTAATGTAGGATTCTAAAGTACATTTCTGGCGCGGATCCCACATTAACGACAGATACATGTACCGGAAATGTAGATGGAATAAATTGTAAAATTGCAAATTTTTTTTCTATATAAATATTGAGAGGAGTGAATTGAGAGAAAGTCAACATTGTCAGTAGCCATTACTCTTCCTTTGACGAACCTGAAAAAGCGTTGACTAGGTAGTGGTGACGCGTTCGTTGAGCGCAACGGCCGCACCAACGAAATCCAAAATAAAATAAGCCGGCTTTCTGATACGTGAACTCAGAGCGGCAATACTTTAAGTTCTGGTTGTTTTTTTATGAAATAAACTGACGATGATAATCAATTCTTTTCAATCGACCGATAGACCAGATGACCAAAATCCTAATGGCAACGCCCACTTTGTTTACATGAAAGTTTGAGTTTCTTCAGCATTCGTACAGAAAACCGGTTTGTGTACCGGGTCACTGTACCCCAATGTGTTACAAGCTTGTCCGGTAATTTCCTACGTAAAGGTACAAACAGCACATATTTAGCGCTGAGTTTGCCCTATGGCAATTGCCACTACACTACGTCGTAAATTTCGCATTTTGTGTATTTCGCTGTATTGATTCGTAAGAAATTACCGGACAAGCTTTACACTGGTTTACACATGCGTAGGCTTGTTTGAACTTTGAACACCGTCAACACCGGTGCTTCGATTGTGAGTCGGGGAGATGAGCAAAACAATTAAATCTGATAACATCACAGAAACTGATGTTATAAAACGATAGTCTTCTCAGCCGTGTGAAAGGAAGTGAACACAAGATATCAAGAAAGAGGCAGAGTGTACAAGTATATATACCGTTTGAAATGTAGCGATACCGATACACTTTCGTAAGTTAACATGCAATGTGGAAGCCTAAGCAAGCTGCTTCCCTTAAAATACTCGTAGAAAGTTCAACAAAATTAAAATTTGCACTAGCGTTCAATTTTGGCCTCCTCTTCACATAAAAATTTTAATTTATGACATATACATTTTAAGGGATTTGTCCCGGTACATAGCGCTAAAAACCGTGTATATTGACGGGAATATTCGCTTTCGTGCACTTTCAAACACTTTTTTGGGTTGCTTTTTGACATTGTGTAGCCCAATGATTGGTGTACATAGGCGTGAAATCCGTTTTCGCGCGCAACATCCGGTTGCGGAGTTATGAGGGTAACAAAATCCCAAAAAGTTTAAATGCATTCAGGTGTACCAAAAGTCTCATTATGGACCGATCCCTTTCGAACTTTGCACGTAAATGCACATAACCATGAAGATCGTTTTGACACGGATCTACTGTTCTAGCATGTTTTTCACATTTTAAAATGAATTTCAAAAAATTTAAAATTCATTTTAAAATTTGAAAAAAATCGTAGAAGTCTGGATCCATGTGAAAACCATCTTTATGGTTATGTACATTTACGCGCAAATTTGAAAGGGATCGGTCCATAATGAGACT